ATACTAACAGCGGAGCTATCTCAGCCGAGAGGCTGCTTGTTTTAAATTGTAAGGTTATTTGGTTGGACATTTAATGGTCTTAAATATAAAATAAACAACAAGAACTGTTCATTGCTAAATGCTTATTCATTGTAATACTAGTATCACATTACCACATTTTCCACCACAGGAAATAAATACTAGTATTACTATGCTGATACTAAAACTTTTCATGAAACTAATGTTAGTGCTCATAATTAATGAAACCCAAATCAAAACTTTCTTTTTTTGTTTGTTTTTACAGATTTGATTATGGTGATAAGTTCTGGAGTGTCAAAGGGAAATATTTTTCATGTCAATGTGGATCCGAAGCATGTAAACACTCAATAACGCTGTTCAATAGCTGATGAACTGGAAGAGTTGTTATACATTTCAACAAATTATGTCTGGAATAATAGATGAATTTTAAATTTTGCAATTTTGCAATATATTGAGCAGTTTTTAACTCTTTGAATGCCATAGTCAAATTTCGCTACCTTTTAAAAAAAAATTGCCTGCATAATTTTTAAAATGTTTTCTCAACATTTTTATCAAGATCTTGAGCCAATAAGAAATGTTCATTTGATCTAAAGTTAACAGATACTAGAAAAAAAGAGAAAAATGATGTGTTGATGTGTTTTGTTTTGTTTTTTACCTTCCGTGTGCAGTTAATGTGCATGTGTATGGTGTGTGTGTGTGTGTGTGTGTGTCTGTTCCACTGATATCACAAGAACCACTCATTGAATGTCAATGAAACTTGGTACATAGCTTCTCTGTGGTAATTCACATACAGTACCTGATTATTTTAGGTTTGAAATCCATGCATATTAAATACCTAATTTACATAAAGATATAAATATATCTTAAAAACAACTCAGATTACAAAAAAATCTTGCTATATAAGTGCTATGGTGTAATCTGCAGATTTGATTAAATTTGGGTTGAAGTACATGCATATTAATTAGTACCTAATTTGCATAATTAAACAAAATTTCTGATATCAACCACCCAACAGATTTTTTTGGAACTTGGTACATACTAGATTCTCTTGGATAATGCACAGACCCGATTAATTTTTGGTTTAAATTTATGCAAATTATGTAATTTGCATAATATTTTGCCAACCACACAACAGATTTTACTGAATTGATGTTCAGAGTTCATCAGCATTCGTGATTAGTTTAGGTTTAAAAATCATGCATATTAATTATCTGATTTACATAATACAATTTAGCTGTTTTACATCCTAATAATTGGACATTGCAAAGCATACATTAGTATTTATCTCCTGTTCATTAATTGGGTAACTTTCTGATAATGGTGCTCTTGGATAAAAGCAGACTATAAACCACTAACAGATTTAAATGCTGCAGCAAACTTAGTGTGGCATGGCATTCAAAGAGACAAATAATTGTAATTTTGTTCCATTTTTAATTGTTTTACCCGTTTAATTGTATTTTTTTAATCAATAGCAATGGACTTGCCAGAATTTGTCATTCTTGTATATGGAGATCTGTTTAACATTGATGGTTGGTCTTCATTTTTTTAGTTACAATGTTGGATCGCTGCCATTTTCTATATGTTGGAGATAACTCTTGTGATGACAAAATAAAGAAAAATGTCTCTAGAAAAGTTGTCTCTGTAAATTAGTCTGCAAATGCTTAAAGCAGAGCGTTCATATGCACAGGAATTGAGTGAAGCGGCAATTAAGAGCAAATGCTAAAAATACACAGATGGCTCCTCTCCCTGCTTTTATGTCAGTGCTTTTTGAATATCTATTACCAAAAATCCGAATACTACATTTCAAATATCTATCAGATATTGTTCTACAGACTTAATTTTACTATGATTAAGAATTGCAAACCCCAAACTTCAATTTACTTTGCTAATCTGTGCATGAGGTTTACCATGTAAGCGTGAAGTTGGAACACGTCTGGCAGGCTTTTTGTCACAGATATTGGTTTGCCATGGGTTGTGGGTTAGCCTCCCCAGGTTTTTGTCAGTAGTGACCACAAGAGATAGCCACACTTGACTCATGGCCATATGGTGCTTGCAGTTCCATCTATCTGTTAGGAACAGCTACCAAGTGTTGCCCCTATCATTGGAAACTGAGGGAATGCATTCAGATCAATATTGTCCCAACTGATTGACCTCGTGATTGACCATGTCGATGCAATTGTCTTCAGTGGTGTGGCCAAGAGATTGATGGATGGTTCAGATCGAATAGCCAGTTCTGCCACTCCGTCTAAATTGAGTAGAGTTTGGGTGTATCTGCTAAAGGTGTGTGTCTGTATTCTAGTGCAAACCAGGAGATGGTATCCATTGCAAGGTCGTTGAGAAGTATTGATTTTGTGTCACCCTACTTGTTGAGTAAAAAGTCAGTTGTGGAATTGTTACCCCTAAGCAGATTCATCATGTGTGCCCCCTACATTTGACATATCTGTCAAGATGGACTCTGATGGCAAAGTAGGAGTGAAGTGTGCCTGACCAACGAATCTTTGGGGAGGATGGTCCATCAGACTATGGCTCCACAACTGCCAGACAGTTGCTCTATCAAAGTTTCAGGTATTTCCCTTGGGTAATTAACGCTTTAAGAAAGATTCCTTTTTGCAACTGAAAGCACTGTACTGTCTGGTGTGTAGTGGCATGAGGCACCAGAACTTTCACATTCCTTCTAGCACGATTCTGTCACAGCATTTGGATAAGAATGAAAAACAGCATCGGTCATGTATATTCATCTTGAATTTTCAAGGTGAATGTTCCGGCGAAGCACTCCACTCTATATCACCTTGAAGTATTTCATTAGGACTATGTGTATGTGGCAATGCCCTCACAGTTTAGAATCAGTTTAACAACAGCCAATCATATAACTTCTTTCTTCAACGTGCTTGGTCAAGCTATCAAAATCTTCGAGGCGGAGCTAAGTCACTAAACGCCCCACGTTGCTATTTAAGACGCGCACCACTCTACCATGTATTTCTATGGACTCTGCGCGAGCTGCTGTGCACTGGTCAAAAAATCGAGAAAACAGCACAAACTTAACTTTGAAGAAATCCAACCAAATTTAAATAGTTTGCATATGTAGGGGGTGACAACAACCATCCCAAAATACCGTTTTCTGAGAATTTATTGGTCTTTGCGGCTGTCTTTGTTTCACCATGATGGTTGCCAGGCGGTGAAAATGCCTGACCCGAGAATAAATGTCGCTGAGCACAGCTAAATCTGTGTTGGCTTGGATGTCGAGGCGATACAGCGACAATATCCATACATCATGCAAGTCACTGATATTCAGACCAAAGCTATTCAAGCTTTACTTAATAATAGTGGTAATAGTGTTGTCACCACTGTTGACTATTATAGAAGAGTAGGTGTTATGCCCCAAAGCTTGTGATATCACTGCAACACATATCGGCAGTAATGAAGCCAAAAATATCAGAAATGCAGAGCTCCGAGCGCTTTCTGGCAGTCTTTGTAACAAAGCATTCTATTGGTCGGTAAACTTTCTATCGCGCAACCACGTGACATACACGATTATGAATGGTATTACCGCACAGTGTTGTAGAGGGAGGAATGTCCGAACGGAACAACACCGTGCAGGCGGACGATGTGTATATTTCTTTTCCCCAAGTATGTCAGCATCTTTTATTCTATGTTTTTGTCATATTACCTGAAAATAGAAGTGTGCATGGAATCATGGGAAGAAACTGTGTACATTACCGTGTGATAACTGTAATAAAGGTGATTGACAGGTCATACTTGTTTTTAACTCTGGAAGGACAGTTGGAATCTGCCAGGTGTGCTTGTGATTACATAACAAAGGATGTTTACAACCTCGGAAGGACAATTGGATTCTACCAGGTTTGCTGCTATTTGAATAACAAAATATGTTTATGATCTACTGAGTTGCCTACGTGACACAGCTGATAGCAAGATCACAATTCACTACGTTCAATTATCCACCAAAGACTCCGGTCAGTCAAAATGACTATTTTGAACTGTAGGCATTAATCAGCGATTCTGTCGGTGACGGAGAGATAGAATCCAGGTCAGGGGAAGCCCCATGACCTCAAGATTCTTTTACCCCTTACGTCACGAACCCACGTGACCGAGTGGAGATGAAATCTAGCGAGCTCTGCTGGATCGCCTGCTTTTTTTCCTGTCCGGATTTATAGCTTGGGTTGTTGCCGCTGCTCGGCATCCGACATGGTAGCTGGTAGGATAAGTTTTCCTTGTCTTTTTTTTACCCTCGTGTCGTTTTCCCCTTTGCGTGTAGTATTTTCACAGCAA